GCAGGATGAAGTTTATGTTGGAAGAAAAAGTCATAGTTGTATGTGGGCTGAGATATTGCCAGAGCGCCCAGACCTAGACAGGAAGGCGATTAGGATTCTCTACTAAAACCTTTGGCTCAAAAGCTTGTCTCAAGGCAGCAGAGAGGTCGCAATGATTTAGATTTACAGAAATGGACGCCATCCCATTTCAAACCCCGCACGTGGAGGACCAAGAGACTGAGTTTGTCTGACTTCTGACTATTGATCAATCTTGTGTTAGTAGCTGTCAAAGGGCCTGGAAGCACCACCCAGTATAGCTCAGTGGGTCAAGGAGATACGCAAACCGTCGCACCACGTTAAGGTCCAGTCTCGTTGCGACGGGCATGCAAATCTTTGCACGAACCAGTGCGTTATCGGAATTCATACAGGTTGACCAGTACAGTCGACAGTCTGTTACACTTCCGCACCATCTGTAGGTTAGTGCTATGTGATCAGGCGGGGACCGCTCTTGCGTTTGTGAAGGCGGACGCCATGTTGCAGTCTGTCTTTTCGAATGCCGAAAACTGGTGATCGAAAGAAACAAGCGTTGACCAGAACAAAGAGCCAGTGTTGGTTACGATGACAGACCTCAATCGTTTCCTGCTGCTGGCCCAAGTTCCCTGCCGCCTGCATTGTTTAAGGATGGAAGTGAGGTCTTCTGAAAATCACTGACCTTGGCACATAGTCTGAAGATGTTGCCACTCGCCTCTTCTCTTCCATCATTAGACCAATGCTAGAGTACGCTTCGCGCTCCTACTTTCCGATTACCCTAGGCGAGGCACAAAAGATCGAACAAGTTCAGGACGTCGCTACCAGGCTCATCCCGAGTTCACATGGCTTGGGGTATGAAGACCGGTGCGATAAACTAGGACTTTACACCTTGTCCTACCGTCGGATGCGATTTGACCTCAGTATGACCTACCGTATTCTACATCTCAGTGACTTCCCCATGCTGAGGCCAATGCTGCACTTACGAGGACCATGCAGCACACGCGGACACAGTTACAAACTTGTCGTGCCGGATGTGAAGCGAGTTCCCCACCTACCATGCTTTGAACGGAAAGTCGTAAATATTTGGAACAGTTTGCCTGAACATGTGATTGAGGCAATATCTGTGCAGCAGTTCAAAACGTTGTTAGATTTATATTTTACCACTATTCGATTCAAAGAACGATTGCACACTTACGATGACGTCACATTTGTGAGTCCTTTAATACAGTGAGTCAGATATCTTAAATGTTACATGAGAACAAGAACGATATTCACGGCTGACAATTTTTATAAAGTTTTTTTTTGCCATATTTCGAAAGAGTTATACAGAATTCATTTTTACTTGCTCTATAATACAGTATTCAGTGTTCACATTCGAACATATCTGTAAGGAAGTGTCCCGGCTAACTGGCGTAAATCGATTATAGTAGCAATATATAAGAAGGGCAGTTTCACAGACTGTGCTAACCACAGGGGTGTTAGTCTAACGCCAGTTGTGACAAAATTACTGGCCTCGATTCTCACTCGTCGCCTCACTGTGGAACGGGAACCTCGGATTAGGGAATAGCAGGTCGGTTTCTGTCCAGGACGGGGCTGTATAGACCATGTATTCACTCTGCGGAAGGTACCAGAGTTGCACCACGCATATCACAGACGGACAATGGTTGTGTTTCTCGATTTCCAGGGTGCGTTCGATTCACTCGATCGATGCATTCTGTTCGAAATACTTGTACGGAAAGGTGTTCCCACGAAATATGTGAACATTTTACGTGCACTATACCCGAACGCCACAGACCGAGTCAGTGTCTACGTTGCCCTGTCAGGGTTTTCCTATTTCCCCGTTTTTGTCCAATTCCGCCGTGGACTCCATCATGAAGTGTTCCCTTACGGAATCTCACGATGTAGGCGTCGAAGTGCTGCCTGGTGAAAGGTTAGTTGATCTTGATTAAGCGGACCAGATCGTCTTGCTTTCTGACAATACTGGGGCGGCACAATCAACCCTGAATAATTTCCCTAGAGTGGTCCTATTATTTGGTATGCGCTTCAAACCTTCAAAGTGCACTGTGTTACTGCAGGACCACCAGCCACTTGATGACCCCTTGACTCATGATGAGGAAAATCTCGAGGTGGTTCCTCGATTTACTTTCTTCGGCAGCTGCATCAGCAACGATGGGAACATAGAAACTGAAGTCTGTTCACGTATTGCAAAAGACAAAACTGCCTTCCTGAGTCTGCGGCATCTTTGGCGACAGAAGTGAGTTTCCCTCCGTCTGAAAGGCCGTGTATAACCTCCCTAGAGTGGTTCCATTATTTGGTATGCGCTTCTCACCTTCAAAGTCCAATGTGTTACTACAGGACCACTAGTCACTTGATGACCCCTTGACGCTTTCTAACGAGGAACTCGAGGTGATTGCTCGATTTACATTCTTTGGCAGCTGCATTAGCAACGATGGGCACATAAAAGCTGTGAGAGAAGGATGTCCGTTGTCACCTTTTCCCTTCAACATCGCTATTGACGAAGTCATGGAAATCACGTTCACAGGACACGACTTAGGTGTGGATTTGCTCCCAGGAGAAAAACTTCTTGACTTCAGTTTGCTGACGATATTACTCTAATCTCTGACAGCTCACAAACGTGCCAAGCGGCAATGTACAGATAGCACTGGCTGTCAGACGCTTCGGGCTTTGCTTCGCACCATCGAAGTGCAAAGCGTTCCTTCAATATTGGCCTGGACCGCCTCCTTCGCTGACCCTTGGTGGGGATCAGCTACAAGTCGTTCAAAAATTCAACTACCTGAGAAGTTCTATCAGCGCCCGTAGAATTAAAGATGAGATCACGAACTGTATATCAAAAGCTCCAGGCGCTTTTGCTGACCATCACCGGCGCGCCGGCGTGACATCACTCTCACCCTGAAGGGTCGAGTGTGCAATGCAGCGATATCTTTGACTCTACTGTACGGTTGTGAAACCTGGCCCCTTAGATCAACGGACATAAAAAGGCTAGTTACGTTCGACCACTGTTGCCTTCGCAATTTAGCTCACATCTGATGGGAACACCGAGTAAGCAACGAGCGTATTCGACGCCTTGTTTACGGCACATGAAAAGGAGATGAACCGCTCAGCACCGTTATTTCATGCACCAGGGTCCGATGGCTCGGCCACGTGTTACGCATGTCAGCCCACCGACTCCTGCGATATGCGTTGTTTGCGCGCCGGGGGTGTGGATGGGAAAAGAGGAGAGGTGGCCAAGTGATGTTTTAATCTAGAGGAATAAAGGCCCTCACTTCGAAGTTGGCCTCGTTTGGACCATCTCTGCTCCCTAGTTGCGGTCCAAAAGACGCTGAACACATTTGCCTGGATACACTTGCTGATATAGCTAGGGGCCGAGCTCAATGGTGTTCGTGCTGTGAGTTTCTTTGTCCCACCCCATCCCTCTTAGTCTCCGCCTCCAACTACGATGTCACTATTTAGCGTCAAATAATTTTGCATAGTAATTTTTTTGCTGCATAGTAGCCGGCTGGTGGCTTACCGGAACGGTGCCCACCCGTTACCGGTAGCTCAGCTGGCTTACACATGTTGCACATTTTTTCTCCTGTGTTTCTTTTATGTATTGTGGCACAGTAGCAGAGGTGTTTCCCACCTCTAGCTAACGTGTATAAGTAATGAATGAATGAATGAAGTCAGTTCACGTATTGCAAAAGCCGAAACTGCCTTCTTGAGTCTGCGGCATCTTTGGTGACAGAAGGGAGCTTCCCTCCGTCTGAAAGGTTATGTTTACAAGGCCACAGTGAGGGCCGTCCTCTATGGGAGTGAGACTTGGCCCCTTCGGTCTGAAGATCTGAAGCGCCTTCAAATCTTTGAGCATCGCTGCCTGCGGAGCATTTCTGGCTTCGGGTGGGACCAGCACGTCCATGATGATGATGTGCGTAGGCGAGTACTTGGTAGGGATGATCATGCTAGCTCCTTAGAACAAAAGATATCAGTGAATAAATTGCGTTGCCTTGGGTACGTACGACGTATGCCTGGTCGCCGCTTACCTAGGAGGGCTTTGTTTAGTCTGCCAGATGTAGGGTTGCGAAAGGCTCAAGGTGGACAGAATTTGATCTGGCGGCGTGAAATTAAGTCGCTGACGAGCAAACTTGGTGCCGTTGGTCCGTCTCGCCTTCCGGGCTGGAGTCCATGTGACTCGCCTTGTGCTTGGCTCGAGACTTTACAGGACATGGTTCACAGTCGACAAATGTGAGGTGCCTGCTGCTGTTCCCTAGTCGGATTACCTGTTTAAAGTGTTGTGACACTGCTCTTTTGCCTCTGCCTCTATGAGCTACGAACGAGCCGGGGAAAACAAAACGCAGTGCCTGCTAGACCGAAGTATATTAGGTATAGGACGGCTATTTTTGTAGGTCAGATGCGCTTACGTCGCTGCTATCACGGAGGTGACTCACACATCTTGTGTGAACAGATTCGACTTTGGCAGCCGCCATCTCTCTCTGACTGTAGGTAGGATCACGTCCGCAACATAGCAACCCGTGCGGCGACGACGGTCTGATTCCGTCAGCTTCCGGTTTGACCATGACAACGAGCCTGTCAGCCGCTCACGTGATCTGGCCGATCTCGCCCCGCTAGTGTGCACCATCATAGTCAGCTGTTTCGCCTCCGTAACATAAAGTGTGTTTGGTGCTGAGTTATCTTCGGGGTAATGGCTGATTACGGCGCAGGGCATTAGAAGCCGCAAGGGAGCTGTCTCGTCGATGCCGCCTTTTATGCACGATAGCCAGCTGTTTCTGATGAGAGGTTGTTACTACAAGGTGTAGGCGCCTTGACCTTGAATGTCCGTATAAGGCATTAAGGTTTTCAGGTAAGTCTCCCTACTGTCTCACTTATTCTTTTTTATTACATGATTCATCATGGTTGTATGGCAGCGAAGCATCAGTTCAAGTGGCTGATGTGCTGCTGTTGTTGATTTGCTTCGGCTCGGCAGTTTTCGGTATCGGATGTTTACAATCAATCGCTCATGTGTAGTAGCGATACCGTCTGAGCTACACGCATATCAGAAGCGGAGTACTTGTTGCGAACACTCTCTATCTCCAAAATGTCATTCTCCAACCCCTTTTACGTTCGCTTGTACGTCCATCTCCTTCCGTTTCGTACACTTTCCGGACGCAGGTTGCGTCCATTGCATCTACTCGTCCTTCAGTTTGCATACAGAGGTGCGCGGATTCTCACTGGTTAAAAGTATTGGATGCTATGATTTGTAATAAAAATCAGTGGCACATATGCTTTCCTGTTTTTTCCTTTTTGTCCATTGTATTGTTTTGTGCCATGAATTAAAAGACCTAGGATTGGTGTGCGTTAAACATCGAAAAAGGCCATTGCACTTGTGCTACCATTTTTTGTTCTCTGTTGAGCACATTTTCCCCTTCTATTACCACCATGGTTCTGATGGCACACTTGTGTTTTTAGAGTGTGGTACATGTGTATGATGCATACTTATTTACACTTGCTATATTTTTTGTTACTTACGTGCCAGTTGTAATCGTGATAACTCAGTCCAATGCACCTGGACGTAGTTTTTGCAGTTGTCCTTATCTTCAACCCCCTTTCCTTCACCACTAATGCCTCGACGCCTTACATTCTTGTTTCCCTGCCACAATTCTCCTTGGTTGGAATGTTTCCAGAGCACCAAAGCAGTGCTCTTTATTCAAAATCGTAACTTGGCAACGGTCTATCACATGCCATTTTTACCAACATTTTCGTCGTTTCCTCTAACCACCAGCCTCGATTACCCAGAGACTGATTCGTATGTTCCGTGCTCCTTGCTGAAACGCACTGTCCACCTTATGTCAATCAGCTGGTGGGTTTCACAACTCGTCCTACCACGTTCTCCCCATATCGTAGTGATAGTCACTTCATGATGTGCCTTGCATTTCAGTACAATTTGTTTTCACACGGCTGGTAAATGCCATTCTACTTCTTATGTTTTGCTTTGAAGAAATCTCGTTTTCCACGTCGCTTTTTCCCTTTTTAGCACCCAGGTGGTAATCTTGTTCTTGAGGAACAAGCCGGAGGCTACGCCACTGAACCGTTTGAGGATGTGGGTCACTCCGAAGACGCAAGAGAAATGATGGCCACTTACTACATCGGTGACATCTCTCCGGTAGGAATTTTGCATTTGATCTCGTATTTTTCCCTTGAACCTCTTCTAGTCCGACAAGGAGAATCCACTTAAATTCACCTCCCCTTTCACCAGCAAAAATCCGAAGGGTGCTAAGTAAGTTGGTGGCTGGGACTGTCTTCTTTTGCATCTGTTAACCCATTGTGAAACAGCCTTTAAATTGGATCTACGATTGACCACGTCTCTACTGTAACCCTTTGGTTGCCCTATTCCTATGGTCGCTTTCAACGTCAGCGACATGTTCGAAACCTCCAGCTGATAACTAAGGTTCTCAACTGTATTTTCTTCTTTCTGAAGGGTTTTGACTCTCATACCCTTCGCTCTTCAGAATAATTTGGAATAATTTCCGATCTATGGCCAAAGAGATCACAAGTCTGCCTTGTAATCTGAGGTGGCGGGTTTGAGGCTGCGTAGGAGACCGGGCGACCTTCACAATATTCTGAGCCCACACGCGATTGGTAGTGATTGCGGAACAACTAGGCCTCGGTACTGCGTACCAGCGTACTGCTGATGCCCCCTCAAAATGAACTGCGACATTTTGTCTTTATGGGCAGATTTACAGTTTAGTCATCACCATCATTACACATTGGCTGAAGGTGCGAAACACACTTCAACTATTGCACCGCAATACAAAAAAGATGTAAAATCAAGATACCAAGCATTGTAGAATACAAAAACAACCGGTAACGCACAGCTTAGTGACCTATTGTGTTTCAACTCGGAGATCGTCACTGGAGGGGTAGATAAGCAGGGTGGGGAAGACCAAGAAACTCCCAACACAAATGCAATTTGGCTCGGCTTTTTGACATGTCAACAAGTGTATCCAACTCTCGTCATCCTCATTGGACATTAGCTGAAGGTGAGGAAGACACTTCATTTATTGTGCCGAATACGTAAAAATATGATATACGAAAAAGACATGATGGTGAACATTATAGAATGCAAAAAACAGGCAACACACTTCTTATTGACATGTTATGCTTTAATCGAGAAATCGTGGTCAGGGTGGGAGTGTTATGTTTCCGCTGACAGTACGGATAACCGATGCAGCCACTCTGGTCACGATACAGCCACTTCCGAAATTAGAAGACAGGGCTTTGGCGGGACTTGTATGGAGCACCCGGAAGACAGAATGTACGGCCAAAATATGAGATCCAGATAAATAGTTTATGAAAGAAAAGACCTAGTTGAAGGTTCCTGACTATAGCAACTACTGGATGCTTATTGGCTGTTCAAGTAATGCGCCTACTAGAGGTCTTCAAGGCACGTCATTCTGATTAGTCAACTTCAAGGTAAAACGATGCCATTGGCTTACTCTCATTGACTATCCAGTCAGCTACAGGCGGCATACGACTAGTCTTCTCCGGGCTGCTTCAGACAGAGAGAGAGAGAGAGAGAGCTGGCTTCGATGGCTGCTATGGACGACCTCCAGTAACACCTCTCGCGAAAAGTGACGTACGATTTCCTCCTTGGATCCAGCTGCATTCTGATCACGCATCTCCTTATCCGATCAGTCCATTGTTATGGCTGCAAGCTCGTTCCCTCTGTGGTCACCGGACAAGGCTCATTAGGTGGCTCCAGAGTTCCAGGGTATATGTCGAAACTGTCCAGCCGAATATCCAGTGGCATCGATCGTTCACTGGTAACTATATGAATGCTGGTAGGCCGCAGCTGCTTTGCATGTCTGGTCCAAGTCTTAGAACCCACTAGAACTTTATACAACACTTGTCCAAGTCTGCAGTCAATCTAGCCTGTGGTCTTCCGGCGCCATAGTCTCTGACTAAAACACCCTGTCCTGGGTGAAATAGACCTACTTGCGTCCTGTGTTACTGATTGAAGTAATTTTCCATTCGCACGTTCCTCTCTTGCGGTGCGATATCCTTCGGAAGCAGCCAGAAATTCGGAGTAGGGCGTTTTCTGCCCATAAGCGCTTCTTCTGGGAACAGCTGATTTGGCACCTGGGGGTTCGGAGTTGATCTGTACAGTAGGAGGAAAACATCCAATATCTCTTGGGTAGCTCTTTCTCCCCTCATCTTCAGCAACCTCCGTTGGACTGTATCAGCAAAGTGTTCAGCTTGCCCACTGGACTGTGGGTGGAACGGCGGTGAGTGTAGGTGTGTGATACCGTTCTGCATACAGTATTCGGCGAACTGCAAGGGTGCGAACTGAGGTCCATTGTTAGTAACCAGGGTCTGGTATTTTATGCTGGGCGAAAAGTCTTCTCAGTACGCCACTTGTTGTGCATTCCATGCAGAACGCTTCCGGCCACTTGCTGAATGGATCAACAACGATGAGATACTGCTGTCCATTTACGGGACCAAAGAAATCCGCGTGTACTCGCTCCCACCGTTTCGCTGCCAATGGCCAAGAAGACTATTCCGCTTTCCCGGTTGCCTTGCTTACAAGCGCGCATTTCGGACGCCATTTCGCTCGCTGTTCCAGCTTCGAGTCTATATTCGACCAGTAAACGTAACTGCGTTTTCATTTTATTAATCTCTGGGTACCGCAAGCTCTTCCAGGTGATCTGCACCACTTTTCCCAGGAAACCAGGCATCAGTGAGACAATCAGAGACAGCGTGGGCGTTCTGGTTCACAATAAAGAACGCCGTATGGCTTGCTTGGCGGAGCACTTTCGAGAGCAGTTTAGTTGTCACCCTGCTTCTGAACCTCTTTTTGCTTAGATATTATGGGCTGAGCCATGACCAGTTAGTTTAGAGACTTCATATGAGGCTGAGGTCCGAAACGCGATCGCAGCGTTTAATTGTTTTCGTGCTGATGGGTCGAATTCGCTCGAATCCACACTCTTTAAGGCCGGTGATGAGGGTTTGTGCAAAGCACTGACCTCTGTTCGAACAGGTCTGGAAAGCAAAGACCATCTCAGCTAACTGGAGTGAATCAATCATAGTGGCAATCCACCAGAAGAGCAATCGCACCGACGGTGCAGATGACAAGGATATTAGCCCAACGCCGGCAGTAAAAAAATTACTGGCTTCATTTCCCGTTCGTCGCCTCACTGCGGAGCGCGAATCACGGATTAGGGAAGAACAAGCAGACTTCCGTTCAGGACAGAGCTGTATAGACCACGTATTCACTCTGCAGCAGGTGGTTGAGCAGCGACTCATGTACCTCAGGGCGACAATAACTGTGTTCTTCGACTTCAACATTGCGTTCGACTCAGTCGATTGATGCTTTCTGTTCGAAATACTTGCGCGGAAAGGTGTTCCCATGAAATATGTGAACATTTTACCTGCTCTGCACTTGAACACTACGGGACGCGTTAAGGTCTACGATGATTTGTCTTATAGTTTTCTAACAACAAGTGGCGTTCGTCAGGGTTCTCCGATTTCCCCATTTTTGTTCAATTTCGTCGTGGACTCCATCATGGAGTGTTCTCTTACGGAATCTCACGATGTAGGCTTTGAGGTCTTGCCTAGTGAAAGGTTAATTAATTTTGATTATGCGGACAGTATCGGCTTACTTATTGACGATGTTGAGGCGGCACAATCGACCCTAATTAGTCTTCCTAAAGTGGTCCCATTATTTGGCATGCTCTTCGCGACGTCAAAGTCTAAAGTGCTGTTAAAGGACCACCAGCCACTTGGTGGCGAGGAACTCGAGGTGGTTGCTCGATTCACTTACTGGCAGCTGTATCAACAACGACGGGCACATAGCAAGTGAAGTCGGTTCTCGCATAGCACAAGCTAGAACTGTGTTTTTGAATCTGCCACATCTTTGGCGATAGAAGGGAGTTTCCCTCCGACTACAAGGACGTGTATACTGCACCACATTCAGGGTCGTCTTGCTCTATGGCCGCGAGAGTTGGCTCCTCCCATCTGAATATCTGCGGTGCATTCAAGTCTTTGATCATCGTTGCCTGAAAACATTACTGGTGTCGGATGACACCAGTGTGTCCGCAACGATGTTGTGTGTAAGCCAGTACTAGGTAGTAATAACCAGGATATTTCCTTAGAAGAACCACAACTTGCACTGAATAAGTTGCGTTGGCTTGGGCACGGATTACGTATGCCTAGTCACCGCTTAGTCAGCCCGTAGCCTTTAGGTAACGAGCTTGTCTCGTACTCTTGCGGCGCGGGTTCCACTCCGCGTAGGAGTGGGCGTCCTTGCGGTCTACTCAGCCCGCGTGCGACTGGTGGTGGACGCACGGCAGCGAAACGCCGTTACAGCGTACAGCTGACAGATTATTATTATTATTATTATTATTATTATTATTATTATTATTATTAGTCACCTTTTACCTAGGAGAGCCTTGTTTAGTCTGCCAGATGTAGGGTGGCGCTAGCGTTGAAGTGGACAGAAGTTGACTTGGCAGAGTGAAATGAAGTCACTGACAAGCAAACTGGGTGCTGTTGGTTCGTCTCACTTTCCAGGCTGTAGTCCACGTGACCCGCCTTGAGACGTTACAGGACATGGTTCACAGTCGACAAAAGTGAGGTGTCTGCTGCTGTTCCCTAGTCGGATTACCTGTTTAAAGTGTGTTTGGTGCTGAGTTATCTGCGGGATAATAGCTGATTATGACGCTGGGCAGTGAAAGCCGCAAGGAAGGTGTCTTACTGATGCCGCCTTATGTTAGCACGATAGCTGGCTGTTTGCGATGGTATGTTGTTGACAAAGGGTAGACGCCCTGACCCCCGTTATTAAGGCTTTACCGCAGGTCCCCCTTCTCTCCCTCTTATTGTTCTTCCTTCCGTAGGTCACCGTCGTTGTACGGCAGCGAAGCACAAGTTCAAGTGCCTGGTGTACTGCTGTTGATGATTAGGTCCCCCTTCTTCACGTGTGACGTCGCTAACGTAGGTTTCTTTCTACGTTTCGCGTATCAGACGGATTAACTGCCGATGTTTATCAAGCGCAGTGGCCATTTTCCTTTTTGATGCACATTGAGACCACTAGGGTAGCAAACTAATAATAATAATAATAATAATAATAATAATAATAATAATATGTCAGCTGTACGCCGTAACGGCGCTTCGCTGCCGCGCGACCACCACCAGTGGCGCGCGGACTGAGTATACCGCGAGGACGCCCACCCCCTACGCGGATTCGAACCGGTAACCTTGTGGTTGCAAAGCAAACGTGCAAACCACTCGGCCACCGGCCGACAGAGTAGCAAACTGTTACGCCAAGAGGTCTTTGCGCGCATTGTTATGTTCTCTCCCAGCCCTAATGTGTTGACGAGCGTCCACAAGTTCCAGTGACTACGTAGAGACCCATTGCCCATTTTAGCAATTTGATTTGTCACGTGAAGACATGCCTGCTGCTAATAACGTTTGGCTTCGCTAGCTGGCAAGTATCTATACGTTTACAGCGTCGCTGCATGCGGTTATCGAAGCGAACAGTAAGATCGGCACGAAATAGGCAACGCGACATTTTCTGGGCGCGTATGCCATAATGACAAATAAACACCATTTGTTGCGTACATCTCCGAAGCTATGAACGAGACGGCCATTCGAACGATGCATATCCAACTGTTTATTGGGGTCCTGTCAACTAGCACAGCTTCAACCCGGGGACTCAACACAATGCCCACACCAGCTTGACCAGTATTTGAAGATGCCTTATCTCCAGACAAACGCAGTGAGAAAGTTTTGCCAATGTCACTTGTGGGGGATCGCAGCATAAGCACAGAGCTCGAGTGTTGTAGGCGAGTTTCCGATAAGCAACAGATGTCGATGGATAGGGTCTGTTATTTTCAGGCAAGTGCTACCTATTGGCCAATTTGCGAGCAGGTGCGCGCGCTGAGGCGCTCCAGTCTTAGGCTGGATCGAGCTCTCAAAAGAGAAACAGATGTAGGGATGTTGTCGACTTGGTTGAACATGTCGCTTAGAACGCAGCGACGCTTTGCGGTTGCTTGTTAGTCGAAATTAGAAAACAAGCTACCGTTGAAGCGAAATGAGGAAGATCAGGTATTGGACGGTTGAAAGCAGGGGCATAAGAGTGAAATTGGCAGGGGACGATGAAGATGAAAATGTGCAACAGCCGGAATAGGCAGATTGGAAAGCTTGAGCGGTAGCATCTAAATCCCTATCCACCCTGCTCGATGCAGCATATACGGCGCCATTTATTATCCTCTGCGATGGCCATAGCATCAAGAAATCTTTCTTCCAGGAATTCATTGTTCAGTCACGTGAAACTAGAATCCTTATCCAACTCATAGGTCCCAGCTAGCAGATGTTTTGTTATCTTTTTGTCGCAACATATTCATCCATCTGCCCCTTTCGCGCCATCGGCTTCTGTTTGGTTAACAAATTTCACGAATTTCCCGGAGTCCCCATTTTGGCACTTTTTTCTTTCCGTTTAAACTTAGCTCTATCTATCAACAGTGTCCAACATTACGAATCGGTCATAATATCACTACCACAATCAATACTAGTATACCGTTCTCTTTCGATTTTGTCGACTTTTACCGGGACTTGTTGTCCATTTGTCTTGTCGGATACCTATGGTGTTCCCCATTCCTCGTACCTTGATCGTTTCTATTGGAGACGACACTTCCGACCAATATCCAACTGGGTTTTACATGAATGTGCTGCTTCTCTAAGCTATATGCCATTATGCAGTTTAATTTTTGCCTTGGTGCTTCAATTTTTTACTTAGTTGACTATTCCCTAAACCCTCACCTCTTCTGTAGCTAAACAACACAGATTCAAGTGAAGTGTATGTTCCTGCACGCACAACGCACTGATCTCTCTGTTCTCACTCTCCCCATATGTTCAGGTCTGTATGTTCTCAGTCTCTTTGCTCGCACCTTGACAGTGATGTGAAAATTCCCACCGCCTTTCGCCAGTTATTCCTTTTTCTGGGTCACTCTTTTCGCTGTTAATAGAAACATGTTGTCGTGCTAGTACGGAAGATGAAAAACTACTCAACTCTCAGGTTCGTCGGTCGGTGGCCACCGAAAGGTGCGCCCGCATTGTAATCTAACTGTTACCGATTTTAATCTATGTGTATGCGAGCAACATCGCATTGCACCTCGCTAGCACTCGACTGGTAGTGGTCGCGTGACAGCGAAGTGTACTACTGACGCCGGTTTCGTCGGGCATTACACACTTTCATGGATCCGCCGTCACCATTAGTAATCGACTAACGAACGCTTTTCTTGGATCTCGGCGTCACTCCTCCCGGGATCACTAAGATCAATTACGACCACCCTCGATAAATCTCAACGCTATATTGTATCGTGATTGTCTTCTATCATATTTTCTGAAACCCTATGGCGACTCCCACATCGTTTATCTGATTGCCCTATTGAACACCACATTGTGCAGTTATCCACCGTCGTCCTTGACCGATGGGTATCCTCTGATGATCACCGAGGGGTCGGTATCACCAGTGCTTCCTGCGGACTTGATTGCATCGTACTGCGCCGGGTTATCGTTAGCCCCCATGGGAGTTGGGTCGAGTAAAGCCTATCTGACTCCCTGCGGTAGAGAATGCATTACTCATATGTTTACACTTAGTCACTTGCTTGCTCATCGTCATATATAAGTGGCTCTTCATGATCATCTGCTGTCACTTGTAGGTAACTTGCTATCCGACTTATCCCGCTTACCTCTGGTGCAAGCTCTCTGTTTGCTTTACCGAAGTAGTTCCTTACCATTTCAAGCCCTTTATACCGCAACTCCAGAGGTTGCGCATGAATTTTCGGAAAATCGTGTTCTGAATCCATTTATCACCTCACACCGTCCCATGTCCATATGATTACTTTCCTTTATAGCTCATATTATCCGTACTCATGATATGAAACAAGGATTTTCGGTATCAGCACAAATTTTAGCGAACAAGCACGTTTTCAGTGGTTTCACATTCTCCTCGCTATCGCTCCTCTCTCTCTCTCTCTCAACAATACACTTTACAGCCAGTAAAACCTGACATATATTGCTTGACGGCTGATTCCTTGATCACTGGGCTATTGAGTTTCGCGATCCACACCAGAAACCCAAAAACCATACACTTTGGATGCAGTTTCAATGTTCAAACTAATCACTTTGAGGTCGTGTGCCGCAACTCAGACACATGACGGACACGGCAAAACCCATTAAACAATTTCTTCACTGCTGTGTCAAGCCGGTACGTAGCCTTAAGAATCACAAGCCTACCTTGTAATCCGTGGGCACAGGTTCAAGACTGCGTAGGGACCGGGCGACCCTCGCAGTATCCTTAGTCCACGTGCGACCGGTGGTGGTTGCACGGCAGCGAAGCGCCAGTACTGCGTACCGTCGTACTGCTGATGCTCGTGGAGCTCCGTAGCTTGTGCATCATCCGCCTACCACTGTGTCGGATAAACTCCCAGCTCGATAACGACATTTTCAGTTCACTTCAAATCAGTTGAACAACTATGATCCGAGCACTGAGGTGCGATGCATCCAGTTACCAAGACTCACATCGCAAGAAAAACAACAAGAATAACTACCTCAAGTTGGGGTTGAATGCAAAGAAAATCGAGACAAGAAGGAAGTGAATTAAATTAATCAAAATAGAACGAGAACTAACAGCCAGATGCAAGAAACCCGATGTAGAAGTGCCACTAATTGCGTAACTGAGCCATGTCGGCTACCGTCTACAACCATTGTCGTGGACCGTCCCGGGGCCCCCATCCACGAAGTCCGCACGCATCAGCCTGACCAATTCTCTCAAACAATTTCTTCAAGCTTTTTTGCCATGTCATGGACTGGCCACCTCGCGGTTTCGCCCAACTTGATGCAGCCACGGCGTATACTGCATGCTGAGGAAGTCGATACAGGAAATGACCTAGCCGACGTAAGCGGTTTAGATATAGAAAACACTCCAGTGAGTCACCAGAAGGTTTCTTGCCAAAAACCAACTGGCGGACTTCAGCATTACTCACCTGGTGTTCCCACCAAACGTGCACAATACTTCACAAGCACCGGTGGTCAAACACGGTCGAGTTTGATGTCTTCACTGCGAACTGGCCAGGTCTCTGACCCATACAGTATGATCGGTCTTACTGTAGCGTTACACGCCCTACGTTTTACTGACAGACTGATATCCCGCAATCTCCATAGATACTTGAGCCTCTGGAAAGCCACACGGACCTTGAAGAAACGCGAGGTAACCGTGTCCGCCAAAAGGCCTGAGGACTGCTTTGGCAAACTCAAAAAATACAACATCTGCTCCTTGCACTTTTGCCGTACACCAAAACTCTTACTATCCATTTGGACCGTACCTCGCACCGACGAGAGATATACCTTTGTTTTTATTCATCACAAATTCATATTGTCCATGCAAGAGCATGGTACTACATGTACACATTTGATCTGAACCGAATATGGACGCTGCTTCTTATTTAAAGCAAAATTACCCATTATCATTATGATGTGAACAGCAGAGGTAACACAGTTACCAAGGTACTTGGACCGATCCATCACTTCCAGTGGTAGGTTGGGGATAGCTAAAACCAGAGATGCGTCGATGCAGTCTCGTAACAGTACTTTGCACTTTGGAACTGAAAGCACTTGCCGTAACGTACAGCGCTATGCATCGCTCTACTCAGTCGTGTTTACATAGCCACTGCGTCGGACCGAAGAAGAGCTATGTCGTCCGCAGGTTTGTTAGTCGCTCACTTGGCAGAACTTCCACTCCAGTAGATTCTGAAAAAAACGGAGTCACTTATGATCATTTCGACCGTAATGTTGAAGAGTTTAGGAGATATAGGACAACCCTGTCAAACCCCACTTATTGTGGAGAACTCAGGAGACATTTTCCCGTGAGTCACGATGGAAAGACTGCATAGTGGAAAAGAATTTAGCCGGTACGCCCTTCGTGAATAGGCAGTCCCACAAGCTAGCGCAGTCAACAGTGTCGAAGCGGCTTTCAGTTTAAGCAAAATTACAATAGTCCATCGCCTGCTGCATGAACATTCCAGGCGCAGTCGAAGCCGATGGTGGAGTGCGGTGTTCGGAGAAAACGACACCGAAACCTCTCCATTTTAGATACGCTGCTCCGTTCATCGAAGTGATAACGAGTTACTTCACAGTAAACCGTGGCCCTGGTTTGCGATTGCGTGTTGCATTTCACACCCATACGGTCGATACTCGAAAACCTAGCAGTGAAGAGACTTCTTTTCACTTACTACTGAGCGGGGTTCTTTCTGGCCGGACTCGGGTGCTGTGCACTGACTGTGCTACAGCGCTGAGCCGATACATTACCGATTCTTGTGAACACCGAATCGATCGATCAGTCTGCTTATTAAGTCCGTGTATGTATCAATTTTTCAGCTTGTTGGATGCTTTCAGTCGCATGTACACACGGTCGCATCCAAAGTTACGTCGGTCAAGGGCGGAAGGGTTTTCAAAGTCATAGTGCGGTCAGGGTTATTGTGTTAATCATAGTCTTGATCACTATGCACTGTTGCGTCTGCGAGACTAGCCGTGTTTGAATACCGCATACTGGATGGAAGTAGCAAGAATTGATATCTCTATGTAGCTGCATCTAAACTCTCTCAGGTGCAATAACTTGTTATTTTGGAGCGCATTCGTTGTATTTCATGTCGACAAGGTGTTTGTTTAGGTATTCCTTGAATCCCGACACCGACTTTGCCTCAACTACGTGCGACCGTGAGTTCTTCCATGTATTCACTACTCTGTTTGTGTCATAGTTGGTGAGCGACCCACTTCGGATCTGGTACCGCAAGCTAGTACCGGTGTCTTCGTGGGCTGCTAGATGTCCTCGTATGGAGCCGCGGCTTCACCATGGGGTAATCACAGATCTACTATCCGCTGCGTCATTATGAGGTCAAGCCGCATCCGACGATAAAACAGGGTGTAAAGTCCCAGTCTCTTGCACCGGTGTTCGTAGGGCACATCACTGAACGTGGGGATGAGCCTGGTAGGAACATGCTATACCTGCTTAAGCCTTTAACCATGTTACTTATTTCTGGCAAAATCTCCATCCATCGTTGGATGACCGGCGACAGCTCCTCTGGTATCATGCTGCATATTCTATGAAATCCTAGCCGACTTCCTCCGCATATCTACTGATGACCTATTTCATCTATCAATTCTGCACCATGTTGGAGGAGACCACAATGTGACCAGTGAAATGCATTGCATATGATTGGATCTGGCTTGTGCTTGTCTTCTTCCTTGATGGAGCTCCACACCAACAGTTAACCAAACTGTCAGACATTACAATCGCATAGCCAAGAGCTTCCCTTATCTGCATCTTTTAGTTACGACGCTCCTTACTCTTTCAAAGATATATCGTTGTTATCTTAACGCTTCCCTCCTTTTTCTCTCACTTCCCGTATCCTTCATCATCGTTTCTACTTTGGTTGTGCGTCTTAGGGCTACTGAATCCTTGGTACTTAGTTTGACAAAGGGCATCAGCAGTACGCAGTACCGACGCTTCGCTGCCGCGCAACCACCACTGGTCACCCGTGGGCAAATAATACTACGAGGGTCGCCCTACCCCCTACGGAAGCTCGAACCCGCGCCGTCAGATTACATTG